AATCTACATAATGAACCGTGAGACAAAGATATCCTTCTGTAGCACAAGAGGTCCACAAATCACAAGTCAAACAAAGCCTGCCCGGAACCTTACTCAAGATAGTTTTCAATTTTTCCTTTTCCCTCTTATAAATCTTCAAACAATGTGACTTAGCAGTATTCCGAGTAAATGACTTGAAATCATCATTCAGGTAGGCCATCACATCCTGAAGACCGCCATGCTCAACCAATGCAAATTCATACCCATGTTTTATGATAGCCATAGCCATTAGCTCCTTAAATCTAGTTTGATCTATTTTTTTTGAGCTTCCAACATTCGACACTGGCACTTCAATTGCACGTCCAATACACTTACGACTATGACGAGTGAGATTAGAAATACCTTTACCAGCCACATAAAGCTTGGGACAGTTTTTGCATTGTGCTCTTGATTTATTGTCTGCAAACTGATTCCCAGGGATATAAGTAAATGTCTCCCATGCCTTAGAAGTTCTTTGTCGCTTTCTCTGAACACTTGTTCCACCCGTAGACGTCGACATTGTTGCAAAATCAGCCTCGTCTCCGGAACTACTACCATCATCATTTTCCGTAACATTCATTAGTTGACTTGACATCCTGAAATCAGTCCAATTCCATGACTTAGTTATGAATGCACAACTGGAACAATTGAAATAAAATTTCCAGCAACAATTTAAACCTAGCAACTAAACCAAATTGCAACTAAACCAAGCTCCAAACATAAGGCTCCTGTTCTACTTTACTATATAGAGTAAAACAGAGCATATGATTAGAAACAGAGCAATTGGGCAAGATGATTGACTGGCTATGGGCTATGGGCTATGGCTATGAGTTAGTGGGGAAGTCATACTGGCGAAGGCCTTTGCTGATGTAGTCGTAGGAGGTCATAATGGGATTATGGGTCCCTGTACCCATGGGAGCTTGGAAGAGGGAGTCCACCATTCCTTTCCCTCTCGTAATGTCCTGTTGATCATCCGACACACACTACAACAAACTACAGATCTGTTGAAAAGGAATTTGTAAACCTAAGGTGGTTCGACTTATCATACTGTGCAAATCTCACAACTATCCTAGATCTGTCCATGGCCACACATCTGGAATCACTCAAACTTACAGGATGCCAAAGCCTAAAACTGAAGCATATGTACCTCTACCATTGCAAGAAAATCAAACAATGCCCTGATCACAACCCTTCCCACTGCTATCTACAGCTTGATGCAACTAAACAAAGCTCCAAACATAAGGCTCCTGTTCTACTTTACTATTGAAAAGGAAGGTAAACGAGGGATGAATGAATTGTCTATCAAATTCCACCGTCGGTATATATACCTGCAGAGGAGGAACTTCCTGCAGAGGAATCAAACTCAAACGTAAACGGGGAACTACCTGCAGAGGAGGAGAAGAAGAAGAAGCTGAAACAATGTTCATAGAGCTAAAGCAACAAGCAAACGAGAAGAAGCAGCAGGAGGAAATCCTCGATACGATCCCAACTTATAACATCAACCACCCATAAAAGACAAGAAAATTCCACCCAAACACCATAAACAGGAAGGTAAATGAGGAAAAGGGGTAACCGTACAAGTCGCTTTTGGAGAAGGCGAACAAAATTTCTTCGTGGGTTTGGGCGAATGGAGTGATTAACCTTCCTTGATGGAGCTGGACGGGAAACGAATGGAGAGGAAGGCAAGTCCTGACTTGGTGAAGGAGGCGACGAGGTGGGTTTCGAGATAGAGAGGGAGGGAGGCGGCGAAGACGCCGTCGACGGTGACCTTGGGAGAACAACAATCACTCTGTCAGCGTTGTTTGGAAGATGGACAGAGAGGCCGGTGGTTTCAAGATGGACAGAGAGGCGGCGAAGACGCCGCCGACGTTGTGCGAACCGGTGGTATTCAGAATCGGAATTTCAGATTTGGAGGCGACGAGTCTTTTGTTAGAATAAGGGTAAATAGATCTGTTTTGTTTTTCTTTTTGGACACCGTACAGTTTAGGTTAGTGGATATCCATGAATCCAATCCATTTATCCATGGATTAAATGGATTTGGACTAAATGGATTTGGATCAATTTAAATGGATTTGGATCAATTTAAATGGATTGGATTGGATTGATTTAATGGATTGGATTATTCTTGCCAGGTCTATTTATAATGCAATCACATTTTCCGCGCCTAATTGTTTTTGTTTTTGTATTATAATTTATGCACTAGGTCAGTCTAGTTAGTTTTTTTTTTCACCGAGTTTTGGTGGAGCAGTTGGTAAGGTGGATTGGAATTTTTTTTTTAAAATGCATGATGTATAATTTGTATAATCAATTATTAGATTTTTTTTTTAAAAGTACAACTTTCGTTCAAATTATTTAGGACATCACACTAAATTTATTTTATTATAAGATAATAATTTATGATTTCTATACTCGTTCGATATAAAAATATGTTTTCGACATAGTTATGTTCTGGGAAGTGTCTTGTTTTGTGATTCATTACTGATTTGGGCGGGATACGATCATTAGTGGAGGAGAAAGAGGGTTTGAGCTATGTCGTGGGACACATGTAAGTTTTGGTAAAAAAATTCCTATGTATTTATATGAAAATTAAAAGTATTAAACACACTAATTTAAAGTAACGTAAGGATGTTTTGTCAATGTACTAAATCTCATTTGTTATTGTTGAATTGCCATAAATTAATTTATTACAAGCATAAATATATTATATATCCCAAAAAGAAAATTGATATTATGCGTTGATTATATGTGCGTTGCCGTACGGTGCCGCCTATGCATGTAAAACTCGGAACATCAAACAAGCAATGAACTGTCTGTCTTTGTATCGATAACACCAAATGGCTTCTAATTTGGCAGGTCAATTCATGACATAAACACTAATAACTAATCAATGAAATTTCATATTTTCAAAGTTCAATGACAAAAAATGTAGCCAGCCATTACTTGAATTTGATATTACTGTTTCGTAGCTGTAAAGCTCCAAATTTGGAGTTATGAATTTTTTTCTTTTTAAACTGCTAATTTTGGAGCACAAAGAGACTCCCCAATAAAACCCTATTTTGATTTAAAGCATGTTTACCAAAAAATTTATTTTTATCCATTTTGGTGTATTTTGTCACAAATAATTTGATACGTATATTACCAATCACTTTCACGATGGTAATGTTTGTTAGTACACAAGATTATACCATGGTGATATAAATATATGATAATGTAGAATGGTTGTATACATAATATGATAATAATAGGAATATATATACTAACCACTATTTACCATATCTCACCACTGTCAGCTACCATTTATGTGGTATATTTGGTGCAGAAATTTTGTTTCAGAAATTTATAAATCACAATAGATTATGATGAACACAATCTTTCTGTGTAAAATTTTTCGAAATTTTAGTTAAAAACGAATGTGGTACAAAGTGTTACTAGCCACTAGGCGATACTAAGGCGGCAACAAGTGGTGATGAACCGTATGCAATTTTTTCTCTCTAAATATATGAAAAATAAATACTTTTTTTAATCACAATGAACTCATTCCATCGATTTTTTAACTCTGGGTTGAAAAACAAGTAATTAAAAAAAATAAAAATTAGTTAATCTCACCTTTTAGAATTTTTTTTTTATAAATCACCTTTTTATTTGGTTTCACTCAAAATCAAAGATTGGTTTTATTTATGCATAACCAAAGGTTTGCCCTCTACTATTACTGTAGACCTGTCCATAAAGGAACCTACGAAACTAGGAAGTTGAATTTAAAAAGAAATAACAGATAAACGTTGTAGAAATGTTTTTTAGATGACTCTTTGAAAAAATTAATTACGATCTTTTTACTAAATTAATGGACTTATTAGAATAATTAATATGACTTCGGCTGTTTCTCTACCGTTCCAAGCCTAAGTTAGAAACCATAAAAGTCTCATTAATTATCCTACTCGGCACATTAAAATTTTCCGGGGGAAAATTAAGCTCTTTTAAAAATTCAATATTTTCGTTAAATTTTTTCAATAAATCAAGAACTTTGTCAAGTGAGTTATAATCATTTTAATTGAAGTACTAAAGTGTTGTAAAATGTATATGATTACTCATAGTCTTACTTCCAACTTCTAGGAGACGCTTAGGAGAGAAAGGCGCTAGCCAATACCAAAACCCTGGTTTTATACCTAGCACCTTGGTGAACCTTAAGACGAGCGCGTTCACGAATCTTAATACTTTCATTAGTTTTTACCCTTCATACGCTATAATTATTTGGTCGGACTATACCGTCAAGGCCAATTTTATGAATGCTCATTTTCTCAACCCAACCATGAATTCATGATAGAAAATCAAATCCATGTCGCAAATGTTGGCGACCCATGATAGAATTAACCATGAATTCACGATTTAATTTTTTTTTCATATGATATCTGGCCCAATTTGATAGATCTTGCTCAGTAACAAATGCCATAGTTTCTCAAGCTTAATGGATGGTGTTTTTTATTGTTGAATTTAGGATTGAATCCTATGAACATAAAATGTTATTAAGAGGTTGTTCACCCAAAAGAAAGAAAAAAAGAAAGAGGTTAGGAATGGGTGGGTGAATGTGGAGTTTAGGCATCTATTCTAAAATCGGCTACTCTCATCTCATCCATAAAATCAGGGTTTGTTTATGGCTCTTGTTTGAAAACAGAAGATTTGTTTTTTGTTTTCCAATAAATAAAGAAAAGAAACCTTCTGCCACCCTGTCCCCAATAATAATAGTCAAATTTACAGAGGAGAAAAACAGAGGTGTTTGTTCAAATAACAGTCCACCGGAAAGACTAGTGGAAGAACGAGGTGGAATCCCTTCCGTACCCCCAAGTGACGAGCTGTCCCATTACGGAAAGAAAGAGAACCTTTTCCTCTTTTTCCTGAAGAGCTGAACAGGGAGGAGTAGTTATAAAAACAGGGGAGGCCTTTCACCTTTCTTTTCTTTTGTGGAGAAAGGAATTTTAACGCTGCAGTAAAGAGAAAGAGATAAAAGGGTTAAAGCAGAGGGAGAAAGAAAGAAAGAAAGGAGGAAGGATACAAACATTTGTTTGTGGGGGAGGGAGGGAGTGGGGGACTGTTTCTCTTAATAACAACACTCTTTTTGCCCACACTCTAGAGAGCGGTTGGCTTTCCCTTCTTTTGCAGATTTGGATTTGGTGGTGTTAGTGGCTTCCTTTCTCATCACTATTTTCATGCCTATAATTCTGTCCTTTTAACTGGGTATTCCTCCATTCCTCTCTCTCTCCGTACACCTCTTCTGCCTGTCCCTCTCTGGTAGCCAAAACCCTTCTCTGGTTCTTGGTTGATGGGGGTTGAGGATTAACAAGTTTTGGTTTTGGTGTTCTTAGTTTTGTGTGAAGAAGGAAAAGATGGCGGAGGAGGGGGAGAAAGCTGAAGTTTTGGAGGCAGTGTTGAAGGAAACTGTGGATTTGGTAATTAGATCTGAGCTAATAGTTTGAACCCTGCGTTTGGGAAGTTCTGTGTTCTTGTGCTCGGGGGTTTGAAGTTTGAAGCTTTTTTTTTGCCGTTTTTGTGAGTGCAGGAGAACATTCCCATTGAAGAAGTGTTTGAGAATCTGAGATGTAGCAGGGATGGTCTCACAACTCAGGCTGCCGATGAGAGGCTTGCCATTTTTGGCCACAATAAACTTGAGGAGAAAAAGGTCACTTCTTTTTCCTCCCTTCTCTCTGCCAATCACGGCCCTCTTCAGTTCTGCAAATTCCTTTCTGTTTGTTCAAGAACTTGACATGAACCCTTGTTTGTTGTTGTTTTCCAGGAGAGCAAATTCCTCAAGTTCCTGGGGTTTATGTGGAATCCTTTGTCATGGGTTATGGAGGCAGCTGCAATCATGGCTATCGCTCTTGCTAATGGAGGAGTAAGTTTGCTGGCATTCTTTCGTTCCTTTTGTTTTGAATGTTTGTTTGATGTAGACTAAGTTTCTTCTAATCTTTCTTGCATTGGTGTTTTCAGGGAAAGCCCCCGGATTGGCAAGATTTCGTTGGTATTATCACGCTGTTGGTGATCAACTCGACTATCAGTTTTGTTGAAGAGAACAATGCTGGTAATGCGGCAGCGGCTCTCATGGCTAGTCTAGCCCCCAAAGCCAAGGTAGACTCAGTTTTGTGGAGAATCTTGTTTTCAGACTGAGAATGGTGAAATGGGATTTCATTTATGACTTACCTTTTGTGTGTGTGTGTGTGTGTGTGTGTGAAGGTGCTTCGAGATGGGAAGTGGAGCGAACAAGATGCTGCAATTTTGGTTCCTGGTGATATCATCAGTATCAAACTTGGAGACATCATTCCAGCTGATGCTCGACTACTAGAAGGAGATCCTCTCAAAATCGACCAGGTAAGTTTGCAATAGCTTTTTCTTTTTAGCTACAGTTCCTTCCAGAGTTGGATGCTCAAAATTGACATTGTGTGTTCTTTTCCGTTTGGCAGTCTGCTCTCACTGGGGAGTCTCTTCCTGTGACAAAAGGTCCTGGAGATGGTATATATTCTGGTTCCACCTGCAAACAAGGAGAAATTGAAGCTGTGGTTATTGCCACCGGTGTTCATACCTTCTTTGGTAAAGCAGCACATCTAGTGGACACAACTAACCAAGTTGGACACTTCCAAAAGGTGAGTAGATTTAGACATGGTGGAGGGAGGATCCCTACTTTGACGAACTCCTGTTTGTTTTCTTATTTTTATTTTGCGAGATTTCAAGTTTTTCCTTTTAAATTGGTAATGTAGGTTTTGACAGCAATTGGGAACTTCTGCATTTGCTCGATTGCCGTTGGAATGATTGTGGAGATTATTGTCATGTACCCCATCCAAGATAGGCAATATCGTCCTGGGATTGACAATCTTCTTGTGCTTCTGATTGGAGGAATACCAATAGCTATGCCTACAGTCTTGTCCGTAACTATGGCCATTGGTGCTCATAGACTAGCTCAGCAGGTACCATGTGATGCTCTTTTCCTTTCCCTGTTGACAGATTGCTAATTGAGTTGCTGTATTTATAACTTTTAGTTTTAATGTGATACTGATGTGGTGGAACATTCCAAATACTATCCAGGGAGCCATCACAAAGAGAATGACTGCAATCGAAGAGATGGCAGGCATGGATGTGCTTTGCAGTGATAAGACTGGAACATTGACTTTGAACAAACTGACGGTTGACAAGAATCTTATTGAGGTCAGTTGGCCTAATGTTTCTTTGAAGCATCTGCTATGGAGACTTAGTTGCCGGTGTCTTATGTATTTGAATGCAATCTCCTATTTCAGGTGTTTGCAAAGGGAATTGATGCAGATACTGTGGTCTTGATGGCTGCTCGAGCCTCGAGAACAGAGAACCAAGATGCAATCGATGCAGCCATAGTCAATATGCTGGCTGATCCAAAGGAGGTATGTTAACAATGTGGTTATTATTCCGTCTTCTGCTTCAGTTACAGTTCTGAGACTTTTTTTTTGTCCCGAAAGGCACGAGCTGGAGTTCAGGAGCTTCATTTTCTCCCCTTCAATCCTACTGACAAGCGGACTGCTTTGACATATTTGGACGGTAATGGTAAAATGCACAGAGTCAGCAAAGGAGCACCAGAGCAGGTAAAGTTGGCCTCACTAATTGCCTCAAGGTGCACTGGTCGCGTAACTCCACTAGAATTTGGACTGATTACAATCTAAAATTGCGGTTGTAGATTCTGCATCTTGCACACAATAAGTCAGAAATTGAACGAAGAGTGCATGCTGTGATCGACAAGTTTGCTGAACGAGGCTTAAGGTCTCTTGCTGTGGCATATCAGGTACCACTACCAGTACTGTGTCCAGATTGCCTCATTTTGAATCATAGACATACAATCTGGCTTTACTTTCTCACTTTTCCATTGTGGCCTTTGGTCCTTTGCAGGAAGTTCCTGAATGCAGAAAAGAAAGTCCTGGAGGCCCATGGCAATTCATTGCTCTCATGCCCCTCTTTGATCCACCCAGGCATGATAGTGCAGAGACTATAAGGAGGGCTCTCAATCTTGGTGTCAATGTCAAAATGATTACAGGTCTATCTCTATTCCAGTTGTAAATGTGGTTCCGTGCTTGTGTTTCTCTTTCAATCTCTCAATAGATCTCATGTAGGGATGGCAATTTACCCACCCATGGGTAATTTTGCCCAAACCCAAGTAGACCCATCTATTATGGGTAGGGTTTGGGTGATGTGTGTATGGGTTTGGGGTTTGTATATGGGTTTGGGTTAGATATGGATATTATCTAAATGGGTATGAGTTGGATATGGATATCCATTTACTTGAGGGTGTCTTAACTACACATGCAAAAATTGGACTTATTTGTAAAACTTGAAAATTTTAGGTACCAAAATGTAAGACCAAAAAAATTTAGGTACCAAAACGTAATTTCCATCGATATTTTGAGGATTTATATGCAAAAAAAATTAAATTTAGGTACTAAATATGCATGTCTATTAAGTTTAGGTACCAAACTGTAATTTGTATTTGGGCATGGGTACAAACCCAAATCCATTTGTTATAAACCCAACTCAACCCAAAGTAAATGGGTATGGGTACAAACCCATCAAACTTTACCCATATCCATATATTTGGATTTCATACCAAACCCAATTGGGTTGGATAGTAAAATACCCATGGGTAGAGGTGGCAAATGGATTGGATTGGTGGATTGGTGGATTGGATTGGTGGATCCATGGATCAAATGGATTGGTGGATTCATGGATTGGATCAAGTGGATTGGTGGATTATCCATGAATCCAAATGACATCCTCAACCAAGGACCAATATGTAAAATATAAAAAGTTTAGGTACTAAAATGTCACAATGAAAAATTTTAGGTACCAAAACGTAATTTTCCAATGATATTTTTCGTATAAAAAATTAAATTTTAGGTATCAAAATGTAAAAAATAAAAATTATAGGTACTAAACCGTAATTTGCCAATGATCCATGGATCCAATCCATGAATCCACCAATCCAATTGGATTTGGATCAAATGGATTGGATTTAAATGGATTGGATTAGGTGGATATTTTTAATGGATTGATGGATTGGATTGAAATTGCCACCTCTACCCATGGGTATGGGCATAATTGCCATCCCTAATCTCATGCTCTAAAAGATGTGTTTTGTCTGCTGCTTGTTTGATCTTTGCTGACCTTGTAACTGCTTCTCCCTCAGGTGATCAGCTGGCAATAGGAAAGGAAACTGGGCGCCGTTTGGGAATGGGAACTAACATGTATCCTTCATCTGCATTGCTCGGACAAACAAAAGATGAGTCTATTGCTGCTTTACCAGTGGATGACCTGATTGAAAAAGCTGATGGTTTTGCCGGAGTCTTCCCAGGTACTCATTTTAGTTATTACTGCGTTCAGCCTACATATCTGCACCATATGGATTTTCTGATTCATGGCATGGTATTATTTATACCTCAGAGCACAAATATGAGATAGTCAAGAGGTTGCAAGCTAGGAAACACATTTGTGGGATGACTGGTGATGGAGTCAATGACGCTCCTGCTCTCAAAAAGGCTGACATTGGTATTGCTGTTGCTGATGCGACTGATGCTGCCCGTAGTGCTTCTGATATAGTTCTTACTGAACCGGGTCTTAGTGTCATCATTAGTGCTGTCTTGACAAGTCGAGCTATCTTTCAGAGGATGAAAAACTACACAGTAAGACTCGCTGCTTATAGATTGTCGTGTTCTGTATGTTGGTAGTTCATGTCTAATGAATAACTATGTCTGGGTTTTTGTGTGTGTTTCCCAGATCTATGCGGTATCCATAACCATACGTATAGTGGTAAGCAGGATCTTCCAGCTGGCCTTCTCTCTCTCATTTCTTTATTGCTTCTGAATAGTTGACCTGATCTTGTTGTCTATATGTTAATGACAGCTTGGTTTCATGCTACTGGCTCTGATATGGAAGTTTGATTTCCCCCCTTTCATGGTTCTAATCATTGCCATTCTCAATGATGGTTCGTTTCTGTCCTTTTGTTTATTAAAAAATTCCTCTTATTCTGTTCTCTTTGGCCTTGTGCTACTGCCTCGTCATATATGATATTTATTAGTCTATATTATCAGTCTGTTTCGTTTTTTGTTTTATGGGAACTTTACAGTCATGTGTAAAAAATTGCAGGTACAATTATGACTATATCGAAGGATAGGGTGAAACCATCTCCACTTCCGGACAGTTGGAAACTGGCTGAGATATTCACCACTGGTGTCGTTCTAGGTAGTTACCTTGCGATGATGACGGTTATCTTCTTCTGGGCTGCATACAAAACTGACTTCTTCCCGGTATGCTTACTTACTTAGCTTTTCTATTCGGTAGTCTTCGATTGTATAACAAAGTAGCCCACTGATGAGTTTGTCAAATAATTTTGCCAGAGGACATTTGGAGTTTCCACCCTGGAGAAAACTGCACACGATGACTTCCGAAAACTCGCCTCAGCAATTTACTTGCAAGTCAGCACCATCAGTCAAGCCCTCATCTTTGTAACACGGTCCAGGAGCTGGTCCTTTGTGGAACGCCCGGGCGTCTTGCTGGTTGTGGCTTTCATCATTGCTCAGCTGGTGAGCCCGAATTGCATTGGATCTTCGGTGTTGCTTGCAATGCAAGTATTGTAACGAATGTCAGATAGTAGCTGAGATCCTTTTCATTTAATGTCAATCTGCAGATTGCTACACTGATAGCAGTTTATGCAAGCTGGAGCTTCGCTGCTATCGAAGGAATAGGTTGGGGGTGGGCTGGCGTGATTTGGCTCTACAACATCATATTCTATCTCCCACTCGACCCGATCAAGTTCTTCATCCGCTACGCTCTCAGTGGAAGGGCCTGGGATCTTGTCATCGAGCAAAGGGTATATTACAATTTAGCTTTGCTTCTATTTTCCCATCTCCATTGGCCTACTTGAGTGCCTTGTTTTTACTGGAGTTTCCTTTCTGGTTGCACAGATTGCTTTCACAAGACAAAAGGATTTCGGCAAGGAACAGAGAGAGCTTCAGTGGGCCCATGCACAGAGAACACTCCATGGATTGCAGGCACCTGATACCAAGATGTTCACCGAGCGTACCCATTTCACCGAGCTCAACAACATGGCTGAAGAAGCCAAGAGGAGAGCTGAAATTGCAAGGTAAGAACACAAACACATATATGGCATAATTCTCTGCATCATGCAACTTCGTGACTTCTATGTCTTACGATTCGGTACACGCGCAGGCTGAGGGAGCTCCATACGCTGAAGGGTCACGTTGAATCGGTGGTGAGACTGAAGGGACTCGACATAGAGACCATTCAACAGGCTTACACCGTCTGAATGTCCTTCATCGACATACTTTCCGAAGAATACTAGTGAGGGAATGCGTAATTGAGCTCTACTGCTGAGAAAATAGAATGAGAGGGAATGGGTGGAGGACAATGTTGTGCGCCGTGAAATCGCAATATGCTCTACTCGAAAGACAACCTTTGTTCGTTTTAGTTTTTTTACATTTTGCCAATAGTCATGTCTATATATAAGTGTCAATGTTAATTGTTGCTGAAGAAGGATGTTACTGCTTTTCTGTTGAGCATTATCATGATGTACAAACTCAGGTGATAGATTTCGCGACATCATCGGTCGTTGCTCATGCGTCTCTTTTCTCTCTGCTGCATTGTTGAAAAGAGGTCCTCTGTAGATTCTGTTATGCAACACTGGCCTGTATCAGGGCTCCAATCATGTTTAGTTGAGTAGCCTGAACTTACGTGGTACGAGGGTAAATAACCGAGCTCCTGATGATGATAGGCTGCGTGTTGATAATTCGTTTTCGGCCTAGATAAGTTCAAATGACCAAAACTGAAGCGAGGAGATGAAGAAATGCTAGTCTGTCATTCACTGTCTTGTAGGGAAGAGAAGACTCAACCCAACATTAAATGAAGTTTAAACGAAATTTTCTACATTTATTACTGGTTCGGTAACACTCGCTCAACCTCCAATACCGGTCCAAAATGCATCAAATGATCATTCTATATTAGCATAAAAAAGGTCAATTAATGTGTCGGTTTTTTTATTTAGCTTAATGTAAATATAAAAAAGTTTCATTCAATGGAAACCGTGATCATCATAGCCATGAAACATGGAATTTAGTTTTGGTAAATGGCGTAACTCAATGAAGAAACTGAAAATCACGACACTTGCATGCACAATTGGTCAGAACAAAGATTTTCAGTCTGGTATATTATTAGGACACTCACCACTGTTAGAAGTAATTAATTTCTTTAGGACACTCACCACTGTCAGTAGTAATTAATTTCTCAGTCGATTGTTTATATATAATTATAACTGAAAATAATTTTGGCTCAATATCCTTGTATCTGTTGGCGCTTGGCAGTGTATTTGGGCTGGTGGTAGAGGTGGCAAATGGAATCCATGAATTGGTGGATTGGATTAGTGGATCCATGGATTGGATTCATGGATTGGATCAAGTGGATTGGTGGATTATCCATGAATCCAAATGACATCTTCAACCAAAGACCAATATGTAAAATGTGAAAAGTTTAGGTACTAAAATGTCATCATGAAAAATTTTATGTACTAAAATGTAATTTTCCAATGATATTTTTCGTATAAAAATTAAATTTTGGGTGCCAAAATGTAAAATACAAAAAGTATAGGTACCAAACCGTAATTTGTTATTTGGATCCATGGATCAATCCATTAATCCACAAATCCAATTGGATTTGGATCAAATGGATTGGATTTAAATTGATTGAATTAGGTGGATATTTTTAATGAGTTTGTGGATTGGATTGAGAATTGCCACCTTTAGCCGGGTGACAGTGGGCAGTGGCACTGGCACACATTATGGGCTTACATTTGTTGTTTCAATGTTGCATGTGGATGGATGGACCGTCAAGTCATCTTCTCCAATATCTCTTAAAAATTATGAATAGCCATTGAGAAGAACTAGCTTCAACCCTGCCCGTTGGGCAGGTATTCTTTATATATATTTTTTGTAATATCCCATAATCTTTTGGTAACATGAAATTAGGCATCATAAAAAATTATAAACTAATTCTTTGTTATTGATTATGGTGGTTCTTACTTCTTAGTTATTCTTAGTTATGGAGGTAAAGTTTGTATGGTCAAGATTTATAAGAACCGTTTGAGGAGGTGTATTATTATGTTCTTATAGAGGCCATATTGAGCCTTTATGATTTAGTGCTCAAAACTTAATTAATCAATAACATTTTGCTTTTCATGCCTGATTGATGTCTATATGTTTTGTTTTTGTTGTTTTTTTTTTCGTCATGATTTGTTGAATGGTCTTATATACTCACCAAAACAAAACAAAACGGCCTTTCATACTTACATTGATAAAAATTTCAAATCTTCTCAACCACTCATCTTAATATCTTTTTGACGACGATCATATCATAACCAATGCCAAAGCTCAATAAATGATGAGTTTGGATCTTTGACTTATATTTTTATTGTAAATTATTATTCTCAAGCTATGAAAAACATATGAAAATATATCTTAAATATCCTTAATATAGGAAAATGTATTTGAATAAATTAGTTTTTGCCTCAAATCTCTACTCAAGAGAATCAGTCAGAATATAATAACAACACCTTGAAAGCATCACTTCAATCAAAAGCAAATGGCTAATCTCATGAAAGCCTTGTCAAATTTGCAATAAAATGTTAAGAAATATATGTCAATTTTCCACATTCTTAGCATTAAGGAAAGGAAAAGAAACTCAGATCAAGCGATTAAGGGAAAATATATAAACAAAAAGTCAAAGATAAATTGCAAGCGGCAACAACGAACCTTAACTGGGTAGTGAAGAAGCAACAGGTACAATAATCAATAATCATTATGCCATAAAACAATGTTCATGCCTATGATTACTGAGAAACCGAAAAATAAGAGAGGGAAACAACTAAATGATGCAAACAAAGTGCAGCAGTGAAATCGACGTTGCAGATGGGTTTCGCTATTAGTGGGCAAATCTGCGGAGGCAAATACCAACAATACTGGTCCAACACAGTGAAGAAAGAAGGAACCTGGGTAAGAAATTCAATTGAATACAATGGAAGTTGGATTAGGAGGTAGGTTTTCCGGGTGGCCTCTTACTGGGAGACTAAAGGGAGAATTCAACACAGAATTGGGTAGCGCAATTGACGGAATTCGACTGGTAAGGGCTCTTGGTGAAGGAGTCGGATCAGTGGCCGCCACCACCAAAAGGTCCAAGAACTCTTCTCCGCCACCACCAACAGCCGCGTGAGGAAAATTTCTAGTCACCAACAAGAGGGATAGGCAGTGGCGGATTCAAGAATTTTACGTAGGTGTGTCATCTTTCAAAAAATAAAGTAAAATTAAATTAAAAATTAAATAAATTAAATAATTCTTAAATAAGAAAATTCCCAACTTGTACAAGTTAAAAATATCCATGATTTATTTTTGTATTCTAAAAATATAAAATACATTTTGTGTCTATACTGCTCAACAAATTTGTCTCGGTATACTAGACAATCATTCATAAACTAACGCATATTTGACTTCTAAATTTGTTCTTGATGTAACTCAAAACTGAAAAGACACTTTCAATACTTGTCGTACAACCATAAAATCGATACAAATTAAGGGTAGCTTGTAAATAGATTAATTGTTAGGTTTTGAAAATAATTAAAGATAGAGAATAGGGTTTTGCTATTACACCGTGTTTAGAATAGAACAACAAAAAAGTTGTAGCCTAATGGAAATTATATTTATTAATAATAGTAGTGGCCCGAGTTTTAATTACCCAAACTACCACTTATATTCCCATACGCAAACTACAAACGACAGTAGGATAATCATTTTTTCAAATTTCAGGGTGTCCCGGACTATTAATTATAATTTTTTTGTTCATACGTAAATTACCACCGGGGTTGGATAATCGATTTGCCAAAATTTAGGGGGTGTCCATACGTAAATTACCACCAAGGTTGGATAATCGATTTGCCAAAATTTAGGGGGTGTCCCGGGACACGCCAAAAGGCCCCTGGGTCCGCCGCTGGGGATAGGGTTGGGGCTCAAGGGGGAGCCAAATTATTCTCAATATTTTGCTTGTGTTGTTCTCAAAAGATCGAATGGGATGAACTGGGTTCAATTTGGCTTCCAGATCAAGTGTCTTTTTGAGAACTGGAACCAATTGTTGCAATTGGTCCTTCAAATTCTCGACCTACAGATTGGACCAACAAGCGGTCACGACCATCATATTTGCCTTCATTGAATCCCGACCTTAAGGATAGATGTCACTATTAAATGTCACAATATATATGCTATTCTTATATTTTGCTAGTGACATTTCTTAAAATGTTGGACAAGCAACTAATCTATTGTGACATTTAGTTATGTTACCCACTTATGTCACAAATACTTCTCTATTTTGATACTTTTTAGTGACACTTCTCTAAATGACTGAAAAGCGTGTATATTATTCTAACAATCGAAGATGTCAACATTAAATGTCACAAATACATATATTATACCGACACTTAGCATAAATGTCAAAATTTATATTATGTGACAATTGTAGATGTCCCAACTAAATGTCACAAGATATACATTATACTGACACTTCACTAGTGTCATTTCTCTATATATCAGACAAAATTGTGACATTTAGTTATGTTACCAACTTATGTCACAAATACTTCTATATTCTGACACTTTTTTAGTGATATTTTTCTAAATGACAGAAAAACATATTTATTACTATGACAATCGAATATGTCAAAATTAAATGTCACAATAAATATATTATATTGACACTTACCATAAATGTCACAAAAACCTTCAAAGTGAATGGTTTTACTGACATTTTTTGAAACTGTCTTTAAAAACATGTCACTATAGCTGGTTTTTTTTTGTAGTGTGGCGGGATTTCTACCAGCTACAACGAATTAAAGGAGTTCGTTAGAGGACCCGATAGCTACGGCAGCGGAGTGCTCGTGTGAGCAAAATCACCGCCGGAAGGAGGATATGGAGTGGTGGAGAAATAACGGTTATAAGAAAGTTTTTACCGTAGGGAATATGAGACTTTTCCAATTGCACATATAGAAGATAGAACGGCAAGGTAAGGGTGGAGGAAGGGGAGAAGGAACCGCCGTCGTGGTGGGTTATTGGGTTTTTTCCGGAAGTAAACAAACGGCGGAATCGGCATCAACAAATAGAAGAAAGGGTTGCTGACGTGGATAGCTTCGGGTTTCAGTATGGATTACGTGGCATGGGGCCAAATCTAAAAGGCCTTTAATAATTTTATAGATAGATAGATAGATAGATGACTATGCTAGTGCTACATTAGCCTTCTTCCTATCCTTAGCCTGTCCACATTAAGGGCTCCTCGTTTGAAAAATTGGAGGCTAAATCTCTAAATTCTAGATAATTTAGAAAAAAAATCTGAATTGTTATTTTTTTTTAAATTTCATTTTTTTTATAAGTGCAAGTATTAGTTTTCGGTTAAAATATAATTATAATAATATATTAAATGACATGTTTACTCTTACCAAAACAACAAGAGTGTTTCGAGAAATATTGATAATTTATTGATAAGGGTATTTAGAGAAATAAATTAAACACGGAGGGATAAAGAAGGAGAAAAAAAATATCATAAATCAAGATATAGAATCTTTTTGATTATGAGAGATTTGATATCTCTAAAATTTCGCATAGTTAAAATCTCCAATGCTAAATTCTATGATACGAAAAACACGGGGAATCCTATGGTGGGGGTGGGGGGTTCTACCCAATCTACAAAATCACTGAATCCATGACCCAAATCCTTTTCTCCAACAGACCCCTAACATAATATTCCATGATCTTTCCCACTTTTTTCCTTCTTTTTATTTTTATTTTGTTATTTTCATTCCTTTTTCGAAAATGTCATTCATGTTTCTTACAACACATTAGAAAAAATCCATGCCAACAAAACACGAGAGAGATCTACGAGCTATAAGAAATAGTAAGCATTGTCTGACAAGACACGTTTTAAGGTGAAATGAAGGAGTTCTTGTAAGAACCTCCAAGCTAGACGTGCTCAAAATAGAGTAGTGCAAAGATGAATGACCTCTTGCAAAATTACCATAATGCACTTTGAAGTGAAAATCATGCGGAGTTAGATCCAAATCGAACAGTATCATAGTCAGAAGTCTATTGTATGCGCCATGAGGCAACTGTCTCGAGAATGAAGGAATGATTGTCAGTCTATGCATGTGACTCATGTGTGAAGGTAGAATTTCCGCAATACATTCATTATAGTGCTCTCACCCATATGAACACAGTCATCAAGTTGATAAATGAGAGAACCATAAGCTAGCATGAGCAACACATTTGTAAGTATTTGTTCCGGTGATAGGGATATTTGACCAAGGGCATCAATCCTATGAGGGATCAAACCTCACAATGTCCCCATTATGCAATAGAATATCCATGTCTGAGTTCGATAACACCTTTTGAAGAACATTGTATGGCATTCGACCATTTCACGATCAATGTAAGTACTAAGTATGACTTTTTGATAAATAACATTCTACAATAATTTGGTAATTAACTTAAAAGACGCTTATGCTGTTCTCAATTATTGTGATAACCTTATTTGTCTCTTATACAAAAGGAGGAAAAATTTATACATATTTCTACCATTGTATTGGTACTCTTAACATTAAAATCTCTAAAATCGATGACATTATATGTCAATCGTACGTACGACTACTCCATGTACCAAATACCACAATATCTCACCGTAAAATTTATGAAGATCTAAATACTTTCCAAGTTACCAACCGTTTATAACGTAGTAAATCAACTCGAAATCCTCTATATATTTATCGGTTCAACCAAACTTTCCTAACCGTATCAAGCCGACCCTTTCACCTCCGGTTGGACCACCTCATCTTTCGCCTTCTTGTATCGGTACCCACTCGAACACCACAAAAAGTAGCCAAAGTTTAAAACCCCCAACCCACCAACCAAGTAATAGTAATAATCGAGCCTCCCCTTGTTCAAATCCTCCGGCAACCAGTTCCCCGTCGGCGCCCCTTCCGTCGTCCGGTGAACAAGCTGTATCAGCGCCGTGCTGAGGTAACTCCCCGCCGCTATCCCGCAATAATTCAACGCCCCCGCTACGCTCCTCATGTTCTCCGGAAACTGCTTGTAGTAGAACTCCACCTGCCCGACGGCGCCGAACACCTCCGCCAGTCCGGCGAGCACGAACTGCGGCACCAGCCAGAACGCCGACATCGACGAGATCTCTCCCCTGTTTCGATCCGACATCCCGAGCGTCGGCCTGGTGAGGGCAATGCGCCTGCGCTGCTCTTCCACCACGCCGGAGACGAGCATCGAGAGGACAGAGATCAGCACTCCGACGCCCAGCCTCTGGAGGATCGTGATCCCGCCTTCTTTCCCGGTGAGCCGCCGGAGGAAGGGGACGAGGACACGGTCGTAGACCGGAATGAATGCCGTCAGGCTGAGCATGAGGAACACGCCGTACGTCGCCGCGGGTACCTGGAATTTGGTGTTGCCCATCCGCCGGTCCGCTTGATTGGCCTGGAAGATCGCGTAGGTGCCCTGCTGCGCGATGGCGAGGTAGTAGATTATGCCGGAGACCCAAATCGGAAGGACCCTTACCACGCATTTCGCTTCCTCCACCTGCTGCAGGCTGCAGAGGTTCCACGGATTCTCCGGGGAGCCGTCTTCCGAATTAATTTTGTCCGCGGGAGTCAAAATTGCCGCTCTGTCCAGCCAATTGAACTGGTCGGTGTGAGGCAGGGGCTTGTTGATTGATTTTTTAGGAATGTAATTGAAGAGGGAATTCGAATCCAAATACTTCAAATTCCGTTTCTTGATCGATACGACGAACACCTGAATCAAGCTGGTGACGGGACTGCCGCTGGCTTTCACGATGACGTACATTTTTGTGCCGCCGAAGAACAGAGCGCAGGAGATCAGCATCAGGATCGCCGGAATCGCGAGCCCGATCGACCAGCTGACGTTGGCCTGGATGTAGACGATTAAAGTGACGGAGATCATCTTGGCGAACGTGAATGTGAAGAATAGGGGTGTGCAATGGTCTGGTCCGTACCGGACCACACCGGACCAAACCGTTGTTAAGACCGGACCGGACCAGACCGATTATAATGCGGTCCGGTCCTTGGTCCTCATGAATTTTATAATTACTGAAGAAATGGTGGACCGAGCTCATATTTGGACCGGACCGAACCGGACCAAATGGACCAAATGCAAGAATGGTCCGGTCCTTGGTCCTAACATGTCTTTCACTAATGGACCGCGGTTCTCATGAGTTTGGTCCGGTCCGGACCGAACCGAACCGTTGCACACCCCTAGTGAAGAAGTACCAATTGAAGAAGCTGTTGATCCCTCTTCTGCCGGACTCTGTATTCGGGTTGAACTGATCCACTCCGAATGCCAGGTTGCAGGGTCGGATCCCGCCGGCGCCGATTATCATGAGGGCGAATCCGGTCAGGAGGAAGCTCATTTGGCCGCCCGTCGGTTGCTTGCACGTGGCGGCGTCGGATGATTTGCCGCATGACGGCGGGTGCAGGCCCGGGATTGCTGCTGTCAGTTGAATCAGAAGCAGCCCCTGTCATTGAAAAACAGGGGAAGGAAAAAGGGAGAAAGAAAAAAAACAGGGAAGTGAGAAAAATGTGGAGATCTGAGATTTGGGATTTGGATCGGAAAACAAAATTATAAGATATATAATAATAAAGAACGGTAATCCGTATGCAATCGAATGAGAGTATGACGTACGAGGAAGGAGGCGAGGGAGGCGGCGGCGAGGGTGTTGTAGCGGCCGAGGAAAGTGTCGCAGATGTAGGCGCCGAGGAGGGTGCCGAAGTTTGCGGTGCCGTTGAAGACGGAGATGATGGTGGCGGCTTTGATGTTGGAGAGGTTGAAGACGGTGGTGAGGTAGATGAGCAAGTTGGAGAGCGTGCCGATTGCTCCTAGCTTCTCGAACGTCTCGTTTCCTGAGGGAAAAAAACGACAAAGATTCGTCGACAGTTTGAGAGAGATTCCTCGTTGGGGGGGAATTGGGATCTGGAAAAGAAAGAGGCAGAGATTCTAGATTCTGTTTTTTCTTTTCTTGGAAACATTACGTACCGATGATGAAAGGCATGGATTTCCATCCTCTGTAATTGGGCTCTGCTTCTTCTTGTTCTTGGCGTTTCTCGATCTCCAAGGCGGATTTCTCTGTTTTGTCTGCGCCATTGGTCTCTGGCGCTGAAGCTGCTGCCATGGCGGGAGAGAAGAGAGAGGGTTGTGGTGGCAGGTTTACAGTGGGCTACTTATGGAGGATTTTTGGGGCTGTAAATGGGAGAGAGAGCACATGCAAATGCAAATGCAAGTTGGGTAAGTGTGGACTGGACGCAATGATGGGAATTTGGTCTGATTCTCCAGAGATTTCTTGTTTGATTCTCTTAATTTTTTTTTTCTTGTTCGAATCTGATTGATTAAATTTACTTGTTGGTATTCTCATCTTCGTCTTCCCTGATTGGACCAGCAGAGGATATTTTGGATTTTTCCTTCTCAATTCGTCGTCTTCCCCAGTAGCTAGCTCGGGCGGTTGTGTTGTGTGGAGTTTTGGTCACAGAGGGTTTGGTTTGGGAATTGGGATTGTGGACTTAAGAAGTAAGAAGGTCGGAGTGGCACAGTCGCCTCGCCAACAAGGGTCGTTTTCTGACTGCAGTGCTGACTGCTCCACTCGTGGTAAATGGTCTCACGGAGCAATATATTTATCGGATTGAATGGTACACGATAGTTAGGGGTTTGCAATAGTTTGGCACGGCCGAACAAATCTTAAGAATTGCATTACCAAAAGTAAAGAAATCTTAATATTAAGGACTAGAGTAATTGAAAATAACGGTTACAAGAGGTTGATTACACCAAGAGAAATGGAACAAACAATAATGGAATTCTAATGACCGGAAGCACAATCCCAACCGAAAGAAAGCCACAAGAACGATTGAACAAACCAGCAAAAGAGACCATCACAGGAGCCAAAACAAAGTGACCTCAAACATCTCTTGCTTCCACGCTACCAACAAAGCAACAACAAAGCATGGTTTCAACTCTTCCGAAACAGACAAGACCATGGCGATTGAATGAGCAACGCCATAAGCCGCCACCTGTGGATCATTCGAAGATGACCCATCACAAGTGAATCACAAGATTGAGATTGCTCGGTGGTGGGCAGGGCTGAAACCGAGATGCTCAGAGCTGAAAATGGTCGAGGAAGCCGGAGGCACGATGGACTGAGACACGAATAGACACCATCAAGGTCTCCAAAGAAACTCAGAACAGCCGCCGCCGCAATGGAAGTGACCCCGAGGCAGAGGTGCTCACCGAAAGACGACTGAGGGAACAAAAGTGAATGTGTTCATCAGAGGAGAAGAACCCACCAACAAGGGAAGGCAACCCAAACTTCGGATCTTCATCAGAGGCTTCCCAAGTCGCAATATCCGAATCCAAAAGAAGAGCAACACCAGCCCAGCACAGAGAAACTAGATCTGCAAAACAAACAAGATCCATCTCTATAGGGAGAGGAATGTGGATGAAACTACTTTGGACAGAGCCATAACGGCCTGGAAATGCCATCAATGGCTAGAGAAACGCAGAAAACATAAAGAAAGAAATGAGAATGAGAACGGAGCTGCCGCCGGTCACCTAAGGGTCCCCGCTGCTACCCAGGTGGAGAAGAAGCGAAAAGCAAAAAGGTAGAGAGAGGAGAGATCAAATTTCAAACTAGAGAGAGGCACAAGTTTTGGTTTGGTTCAAATAGCAATGTTATCTATTTTTCTTCATTGTTTATAAAATTCATGGAATACGAACCGAACTTCTTCACCGGTGATATAAATGGTCTCACGGAGCAAAATTTGTAACCCAATTGCAAAGCATGAGCAAGTTATTATGAAGAGGAAGTTATTTTTCCGACCTGTCCATGCGACCCGATCTGTTCCGGCCTATTCGGGTAGGAGTTATTTGACCCACAGTAATGTGGTGCGGTATATGGATATAGCTTCTGACTTTACCTATTCTGTTATTGAGCAAAAAAATCATGATTTGCATACATATCTACATATATTTTCCCTCTTTTCACTTTTCTAAAATCATATTTTCATCCCGATTTTTTTAAGACTCTATCTTTCAACTATTTGGACTAAATTATGGAGCAGATACTGTACAAAACCCCGGTATGCAAAACCCTGAAAACCCCATCGTATCATCGTGTAATATCATTGTATCACACAAGTCGTGATACGATGATACGACCAGGGTTTTGCAGGCAAGGGGTTTTGTAACCAAACCCAAGCCCTAAGATATTGTATCTACTATATTTCTCATTCATTTTTTAAGTGATTTATCAATGTGTTTTTGTAAAAAAATTTAAATATTAAGGTTCTTTTTTCAAATACATATAAAGATGGATCGACGCGTCCCGTATCTGCACGAGGTTTACCCTACCCGACCTGTGCATAGTGTGAAACAAGAAAAGATATTAAGGTACCTGCCCTGTCCTATCCCGCCGTATTGGAATCACTACTTCAAAAGAAGCAACCGCGGAAATGATACTTTGGAGCAAAAGGCTTATACAAACAGATGAGAAAAACATAGAGCATTTCTTTCTCTCGGATTTCATCGAATCACTTTTTCTTTCTTTTATGTCGATTTTATCTCATAGGAAACGTTGTTCCGTAGAAGAAATTGATACAAAATCGCGAAGAAACGAATGTCGTTAAACTCTATATTCATATTATCCAAGTTGTACGAGGATAAAGAGGTGAATGATTATAATTATGATTTCTTATTATTTTAACTAAAAAGACTTAATTATGATGAATCATAATGGTATCCTTTCAATTATGATAAAGTATAATTTTGCGTACATAATTTTTTCTCCTTTCATTATTTTTAAGAAATGAAGAAAATTATGATGAATCATAATTCTGCTAACTCCAACTTTTCTCTTTATTATTTTTTTTTTATCATTGTTCTCATTGTATTTAGCACAAAATAGGTCAAATAAGGTCTTTTTATTATTTTTGACATGTCAAGGTCGCATGTGTGCGAGTTGAATTTGTAGGTCATTTTGGGGTTTAAATTAAAATCAGGAAATTATTCGTTTTTACCTATTTTGACCATTAATCCATCTTACTTTTTAAGTTACATGAAAGAGCCTTTGATTGAGCCCTAAAAATGCCATAATTTAGATACTGAATGAAGGAATATGGTATAATATATTAGGAATAGGAAGGAACATCAATTTTACCTTAAATCATAGGTGCAATTGTGAATGAGTTAACTTCACGGGTAATTCAACCCAATTGTCTTGACCTCTACGGGTATTGGTTCAGACCCAAATAGAACTATATGCAACTTCAACGGTTTTGAATTTGAATTGGATTTGAATTGAGTTCTATTTGAGGTCAATTCAATTGTGTCGAACCCAAATAAGTCTATTTTGATCTAGAAGATTGCACACACACAAAAAAAAAAAAAATCAAACCATCTCGCTAACTTCCTGCAACCCAGGTCAAACATTAAATGTTGGTGTTTCCACATTTCTGTTCGTTTCATAACTCATAAAGACAAATGTAAAACCCGCTTTAGAATCTGGCATTCATTTTCTTTGTTAAGAGCCAAACTAAAAAATGGGGTATGATCAGTCCGCCTCAAAGTCAAATTACCCAAACCCAATTTATCCCATAACCAGAATTGTCGGAATCCGACGCCTGAATACTAGTACCATCACATATCGATACAATAATTTTTTAAAGTAATACGAAATTAAATAACATAGTACTCAACATGTAATATACCCATAGCATACGGACCAAAACTGTCAAACTTAACTGGTATGCTCGGATAGACAGTTTGATCACATTATGATGTACGTATTTGCTGCAGGAAAACAAGTTTTAGCCAGATAATTACTCCTTTGTATAAAGGTGCTGCTCATAGTAATAGTTGATTACATGCACGCAATTATATCTTAAATGAGTGCCCGGTGTCATAGTTGATTACACGCAATTATATCTTAATTTAGTGCCCTCCAGTGCTGTGTTTAGTCAACTATCAGTAACCTATAATAATGCTTCCGTGTGCGCGTGTTGATATTGCAGTGTTTTTTTCTTCTGTGATATAATATGCAAAAGAGAAACGACAATTTACGAGTAATCTGAGTTGAATATCCCACTACCTTACTCGGGTATGACTTTGAATTACACGGTAAGATAGAATGGTGCTTGATTCATGAATGTTTATGGTTGTCTTCCTTTTGTTTTCTAGTCTGCATGCATGTCGGCAGAATCTTATTGTTGTATTCGAGGTTTTGTCTGTACGTACGTGTTTCCACATTCTAGATGCGGTCTCCATCACCATAGTTATGATGGTTAACCTGGAGCTCTTTCCTCTCACTGTCACAGAGCTTTGGTTTGACGCTGGTACTGGTTCTAATCCTCGTTGCCACCGCTGTCAATGATGGTGAGTTCTCTGTACCTTTGCTCCAAGCGAGACAAAGTTACGTTGGTCCATTATTATGGGTCTATTTAATTTGGTTTTCACTAGGTTTTATACTTCTGAGCCATCTTTATGGAAGTGCAGCTGCTTAATTGATGGATCCGACCAGTTACTCCAAAACCATGATGCCAACGTTCTTGAAAACCAACTGCAACGGATCCCAACTCAAGTTGGATCCTATCTTGTTTCCATTAACCCCAACTACCAGTGAGTATTGGGTGGTTGAACCCATCAATCCACACAAATTCACTCACAATTGATCTATCCATGGTTCATGTGGGTGGGTGCGAGTTCTAAAATAGGCCACCCACTAAAGTTTGAGTCGGTGCCGGCAGACTAAAGTTTGAAGTGTTTATAAACCCATGGAACTCGCGAGTTCGCACCCGCCTGCCATTTCCAATCAGACAACCCAACCCAATCCACCCACAAGTAAATGTTGGGTGTGAAAGCCTAAATCGTATTGCAATCTGGCAATCTGT